TGAGGTTTTCATGGCGGTGAAAGTTCAGATCATGTCTTCTGGATGATAATGCGCAATCTTGTAGGTGGTTAATAATGTTTCAGAGGAACTAATGCCCCCATTTTCGGGGTCAAAGTGAGCAATGCTGGAACGCAGAACGCTCACAAAAGCTTCAAATACGGCCTTTCTGTGGTCCCTGTTACCATGGATGGAGATCCATCCGCTAACCCCCCTCAAATCCCAGCTCTGATTGGCTGACTGTTGCCAAATCCTTCCACCCTTCCTTTTCAGCTATTCTACACACCCTGCAACACCGAAGATGGACAACAGGTTCCTTCAAAGGACTGTTAACCACCTCACAGATTGCGTAGTGCTACATCCCAATGGACCACAATCTGACAGCATTTATTATCCAACCTTCAAGCATAAATCTTGAATAACTCACCTATGTTTGGATGGTCTAGCATCTTCATTATCCTAACTTCCCTAAAGAGCTGTAAAAATTAAAAACAATTAGAGCTCGTGTAATATTAAAACTTAATTGTCATGTATTTAATGATGGAAAATATTATATAAAGTAATAAGGAAATTAAAACTACCTCAACATCTATGGAAGGAAAGACACATGCAGAGAAAATGGCATTAAATTTAGTCGTCCCATGACACTGCACAATAACAATAAAAAAGGAAAATCTCGCACACACAAAAATGGGTGGATCTCGGAGTTTTATTGATCCCGAGTTTGTACATGACCTCAGAATTTGCCTGTCACCCACCAGTTTTGAGTGGACTGAAAACAAGCAGACAATACATAATCTTATGACCTTGCGTACGTGCAGTCAGATTTGTTTGTATGCATGAATTCATATAGACAACAGCTACTGGCGATTTACGTTCGTACCTCAACGAAACCCAGAATCAGTCAGCGAATGTACTACGGATAAACTTGTCCTGACATCGCCTTCTCATGGTGGGAATTTCATCACTAAAACATCCAATTTGTTGGAAAAGAGCCAAAAATCAACCTTTAATGGTTTTGCACGCACTGAGAAGTTCTTCAACGCGCTAATTCGTCATTTTCTGCCTTAATATTTCCAAGTGAACTTGGGGGAAAAGAACAAAAACACGCGTGCACACAAGAAAATAACATTAAACACGTGACAAGCAAAGAAGAAAAACCACAAATAAACTGCACCAAGAGAAATTAAGTAACTGACAAGCAAAAGTGAACATGAAGATTCGAGCTGTGGCACGCGGAGCCTCAGTAAGCGCTGGAGCAGAGAAGCGACTGAGAAACTGAGTCACTCCACTCAAAAACTGCGGGTGATGCAACAAATGTTCCCAATTTCGTGATTAAAAAGAGTGAGCACCTAAAATCATAAATGTGACCAACTATTACTTTGGTTACTTGACTACGAGGAAGTGCATTAACACGATTCAGACACAAATCGTCTTACCTTTTGTAGACTGCCGGGATTCAGTTGTGTTTTGTCTATTATTTTGATTGCTACCTGAAAAGACAAGATGCAGAGCACATGAAACTTCCCCGACTTAAAAACTCACAAATATTAAGATCAGAAATGCAGGTTCGCCAATTTGCGTTGCCTCGGTCCATCAGGATTCGCGAGACTGCTCGTCTTGTGGCGAGACCGGGGTATTTTACATTATGAATGCAATTTCGTGATATTTTGTGCGATGAACCTGTGCTTACCTCCTTTCCCGTGGGCACGTGTTTGGCGAGCTTCACCTTGGCGAAGTTGCCCTTTCCGATGGTCTTGAGCAGCTTGTATTTACCAATGTGGGGCTCGTCGGAGGTCCGACTCCGTGAGGACGACACTCTCCCGGTAGAAGAGGTGCTTTCCCCTCCCTGCAGGAGGAAAAGAGGAAAATCACAACAGCCATTACGTGGAAAAAGGTTATAAGGCAAAACGTTGGTGACACTAAGGGGGATCGTGGAAGCAAGTCCAATCACAACCCAGAAGTTATGAGCAGATTCATTTCGGCTTCATGAGGTTAGTTCTATGTGCACGAAGCACTGAAATTTCACAGCCCAACAATCACGAACAGCCAATTATTTCACGAACAGATTAAGCGCCCTCGCAATGTTGTGGTGGCACTGGAAACTAACATTACTTGGACAGAACGGACTGAACCCTAGATCAAGTGATGCAATTTGCGTTGCGTTCGTATTTTCACGAATCCGGAAGCCAGTTTTTATTGTTTTCGTTAACGGAGAGGGGGGAAGGCACCTGACGAGATACTGTCGACTTGTTAGGCGCAAGAAACGTATCCTTGAACTCACTCTAGTAACTTTAGAACGAGAGGCAATCTCTGCATTTCTGAGCATCGATTGTTGAAAGACAGCTGAAGGTCTCGCGAGAGCAGGGCGACCTAGAACCGCAGCGACATCGTGTTTTCTCATCGAACTACACTAAATTGCAACCATCAACCAACGCTTTAATATGGGTCGTGCGACTTTTCGATGAGCCTGATCACAACCGTTCCTCGAGGTCGCGTTGCTACCAACCACAAGGCTCCTCCAGATCTTCGCTCACTGACAACTGCAATCTCCACCAATGTCCAATGAAAAAGGAAAATCTCCGGGCTGAAAGTATCGAGATGCAGTGTCTTGTTAATGGACTAGCAGAGTTGAATTTCCAGTCACGCACAAATGGTTCGGTCGATGTGCCAGTCATGAGGACGTGTCACGAGCCAAAAGTCTGAGAACCAGACGCCCAGAATAATAAATATCGGACTTGCGCTCCAAAAGGTGAGGGAGGCTAAGACATGGATAATTTTTCTATGGCAAAGATTTGATATTTTTGTTCGTTTTCTCTGGTTTCCTGTTACCAGCACAAGATTCCTTCCTCGGTGGTTTAAAATCCCGTAACAAAGATCCGAATTCTCGAACAGCGCCGAGTTGTGAGAACGGACTGCAAATGTCTCACCGCGTCGCTGTTTGCGATGAAAACTGATAACGAAAAGGGGTGGTCTCAGTCACACAGGCACTTCCGAACAGCTCGAACTAAACAAGCATAGTCAAAATTAAGATGGGGGCTTCATGCGGCATGACTAGTGCAGAAGCGCGTGTTAAACAGTCAGACAAAGACAGCTAGCCGTCTTCTGGCCACAAAAACCTCGAATCCTGACAGACTCGTTAAAGGAACATTCTATTCGGAAGACCTTCGCGTAAATGTAAAGACAGAGTTAAATCTGGCTCAGAGACGAGCTCCTGTCAAAACGGGTTCCCTAAACGGCGAGAAATTGAGCGTAATTCCGCAAAATAAACTTTTTGTGGAGGAAACTCGTGGGCTACTTCGCCGCAATAGCTGCGGGTGGGAGCCTCGACAGGCGAGGTCAGAGTGTGGCATCCGTCACGGCCCGCCATTTTGCTTGCCGCTTCCGTTTGCGAACAGCGAAACACTGCAGCACAGTCTGTTGACAGAATCCGAAGGTTGGCTACCGTGTTCGCCAGAGGCCGCCCCTCGATCCCAGACCAACACGCCAGTTTCGTACATCGAATGCATTTCAATATTATCCTCCTAAAAACGGGGAACACTTGCTGTGACAGAGACGCTGTATGCAGGTAACGTAAGATGCACGTAAAGATATTTTAACTGTAAATAAATCTACCATCTGAAAACAAATGTGGGCCTGCAACGAAATGATAAGTTCTTCCCGACTCGTATTACGGGATAATCCGTCCTGTGCGCCGAAAGGCTACAAAAACCGATTCCACACCAGCCCCGGGGCCCGAACTCCGGAAAAGTTGCCTTGCGGCCTCGAGAAAGTTCGCAAACAGCATCGGCTATATTCTTACCAACATTCTTCGTAAGCTACAATAGTTTGCCAAATTTGGAAAAGACCAAGTTTCAATAGTGTTTACCGAGTAACTAGGACGGGCCGTATGTGGGCAGGCATCGAACAGTTACCGTCTCATCTTTGTGGTTACGTGTGTGACACCTGACAGTGTTGAAGTTCCCAAACCGGTCATGAACTACGACGTAGATAGAACATTTCACTTACGAACACAAAGAAAAACCAAAAAAGCAGAATTATCATCTGCCAGCAACACAACACACGGCGGTAGAATAAGAATACTCACCCTGACCCATGGCGGATACATCGCCGTCGTGCATCGACCCACATGAAGGTAACATCAGCGCCAAATTAAAACTATTACAGTGACGTCATAATAAAATCGCCAGACTCTGTTTATTCTCGCACGTAGGTCGCCACTCCAATGCACTCTAAACTGTTCGAAATCTCTGCAAATGCCACCACAAGAAACACTTCGAATGCATTTCACACGTTCCAAACATCAACCGCGACACCTCAGCAGAGACACAGAAGCGCGCATTGTTACCATTCTAACTACCGTTATTCACTGTAATCTTTCTTACGGGCTACGTAGTCCGGAACCAACGCATGCGCGGAACAGGAAGGTCACAGCAAAACCGTAACAGGTGGTTGGCTGGCTGGCTTCAGATGACGCGAGCACAGGGAAACCCAACATTAGAAAACTCATATCGCATCAGTACAGAAACAATGGCAGACTTTCGTTGCACAAAAAGATTTTTTTTTCATATCCACTTCAAGCTGAGGCTAACAACACAATGACAAATAAATGCCGCCCACATTAAATATTTAATTTAGTTACTTAAAAGAAGAGAAAGTGTTAAAGCAGGCTGAACCTGACTGCGGGAAAAAATTGGCAATGTTCTTACCAACCTGAAGAATGAATGTCCCTTCAAACGTCAATTAAATATGCTAGAATGTAACTAGATCTCCGATACTGCACTGAACTCAAACGGCACATAACAAAGGTCTGCAATATCGAAACGGCTGGTAGACGCATAACAGAGGGTAAGTTTCATGTTGGGCGTGTTAAGGACCAACCACCTATAATACTACAGGCGTCGTTTCAATTTTTGGCCACAGTCAAGTCGTCCGCGCAGTCTGGTGCTGCCACCAAGCGGCGCAGCCTACGGCGTTACGACTGACCACACAACAGGTAAACTGGTCGCTTCAGAACGATGTCGGTGGTACGGACGGGAACAGGTGGGAACACAACTCCGAATCCAACACAAATTAATAAACAACAAAGAACGATTCACGCGAACAGGAAAGTGAATAAAATACCTCCGCTCCCTCAACGTAAGTTTGGGGTCGTGTATTGTTTTCACCTCTGGGGCTCCAAAACGCGTTTGAAACCGAAGTGGTGACAAATGTCAAGCGAAAATCGGTGTTGGAGACTAAAGAACTCCGCCTGGGTATTTTTACTTACCAACAATTTCAAAGGCAAAGTGCATCGCCACGGACGGAAGGCGTAGTAGGTCTGCAACATTCGACAGGACGCAACGAAGCAGTGACGCGGAATGAACCGCTGGACCGGGCTGACCTATGATCAGCCCCCAAGACGCCATTACAGCGAGCAATGAAATCAATTCCAACCGATAAGCACGCTGTTCAAAAATTCCGTTCTTTGTTCAAGTCCAACATGGTGACAAATATGTCGCAAGTGGCGAACGACCTCGTTACATCTTGTCAACACACGCAGACAGCGGTCTGAACATTCAGACACTGCCAAACCTCGCCAGAGCGCCACACTTTGTTCACAACTATTACTGGCGTTAAATCGGGGCCCGAATTCTATTTTAATTTACCGATAAAACAGCGGAGTAAAACGGTGCGGCACAATTGGGGGGGGGGAAGAATGACATATTCAAGGGTAGTTTTATTTATGAAACGAACCATTAGAATATATAAACACACAAGAACGTGCTTAAATAAGAGTTTATGTTCACAATCTTTAATGACAACGCTCTTAAACCTACGCCCGCGTCCTTCGAGGACCGACCTCGACTTTTATTGATCAACAAAGCGAAAATACAGTCAGACTTATTGAATTAACCTGCAATTCTCATCCGATTACATCATTTCAGAGCACAATCTCCTGGCCGGAAACTAAAATTACGGTACCTTTTCGCCACTTCCGGTTCGCTTGTCTTCCCAACAAATCGTTTACCGCAACACACAGAAAAACCAACTTCAACAGGACTCGAAGCCAGGTCATTCTTTCCCTTCCTGTCTCGGCGATATCTTAAATAGTGCTCAGTTTCCGTGCTACAGAAACGACCCTCACAAGTACTCGAACCCAGGCCACCCACGATCCTGCGAGCGAAGTAACAGCGCACATTTCCGTGTGGGGAGTCCCCGGAGAATCCTCCGTTATTGCGCAGGCGCCAGAACATGACCCACGCAAACACAAATGAGCCCCCCCCCCAGAAAAATGGGGGAGTTCGCAAAGTCGATATCAGTGGAACGCAAAGCGACGGGAACATTTCGTAACGTCAAACATTCAAAGGATCCCCCTTCATCGCGAAAGAATGCATAACGCAAATTTTGTCGTCCTCAAATATCCTTCGTTAACGACGTACTCGGGTGCGGGCCGCCATGTTAGGAACTGTACTGCACGAACAGCAGCAACCCGCCAAGCACAGCCGCTGTCAAGCCAAAGTTAGCCGAGGTATTTATTGATTGGACGCCCCACGTCCTCAGTTCTATTTTGAACTTGTCTCACCAAGAACGTTTTAATTTTTAAACCACCCGTCTCCAGAACAGGGTTGCCAACCTATTCACGTCTCCCTTCCCACCGACGCTCCGATCATTCAAGTGGCTCGTCTGTTCCCTGCACGCATTCCTACCAAAATTTTGTATGCACGTCCGGTTTCCAGCAGACGTCCTTCGTTTTATCATACCGACACTCGGCTCAAGAAAGCCTCTAAAAGGGGCGGACCAAAATAGTCCCAAATCGTCGAATAAGAAAGCGGGAGGTCTCTTGGTTAGTGCGTGAATCAATGGCTTTGCTTGGATGTGTCTGGTCCGGGCAGGAACACGGAAAACTGGCTGGCATCAAGAGCAGATGCTTCTTAAAAAGTCAACATTTCGCCACGAAAAACTAAAAATTAAAAATACGCACAATTTTAAAGTAACTGGAATACACGTGTCACACAGAAAAACTACACGCGGAAAATTCGTCCGAACCTTTGTGAGACGATTTTTATTAAATGCCAACCAATCACAGGTTGCACCGGTTCCGAAGGACAAGCCGCTTTAAAAAACGACGACTGGACCCAGACAAATCCCTTGGCCACGTGACCTTGACACATGACAACCGGCGTGGGTTTGGATAAACTGGCCTCGGGGTGGAGACCTTGGATCTAGGACCAAACGACTTCAGCCTGTGACCAAGACCTTCGTCATGGGGTCAGTTACCCTACGCCAAGCGGTCTTGCCCAAGGGTCAAATTACCGTCATACAACGACGAACCTCGAAATGATGACAACGGACCTGGGGAGGAAAAGGTGTCAAACCCGGGACCGCTGACACCGGTTAATCATCTTTGTCCATCTTCTGAACTGCCGCGTAAAACTGAAAATTTCTTCTCTGCGTCTCAAAATAAAATTATTCTCGGTGTCACCACGTAATTCCTCAGCATGGAACTTACCGCACAAGAAAAGTTCGCGTTTCATGTTACGAGATTTCGACAAGCCGTCGGACGAGAACAATTTCGCTGGCTGCTAAAGAAAAACATTAATGACGAGGCACCACCAACGCTCGACGACCCTAAAATTTTTCGAAGTTCCGAAAACACTTCTGCGGAAGAGAGGGCCACCGCCGATCTGCCCAAACGGCCGTGACCTACTCGAAATATCGTTTTGCGTTGCCTTCTTCGACATTGAGACTGCAAAGTGCTGTTCTCTTTCGGTCGAATTCTCTTAATTTCCGGAGGAACCTCCCGGAATACTTTCTCTCCAGCTGGCACGTACAAACGCACGACGGTATTTGTAATTACTAGTTGCGTAAGAACGTCGACTGGCTGTGAAGATTGTGACGTTCCAGAAACAAGTTTTCAGCGTGTACCACCACCAGACTCTCAGTAGTTCCCGAAGAAACGCGGTGGCCACAGCCACAGGAACAAATCCATGCGCCCATCTTACCAGTCGGCCTCGGACAACCATCCTCGTGGGATGTCCTCCAGCTGCGCTCCTTCCGGAGGACCTGGCGGCCCTCTGAGGGCCCCTGGCCCGGCCCTGCTGCGACACCGTGCTTGTCCGATCCACACCCCTCGCGCAGGCCAGAAATCACCCGGTCCACCGAACCACCACCACTCACATATCGCAGGGCGATTGGCACAACAGCACAGCAAATGGGTTGGCGAGCTTTTGGCTACATCTTCCTTCCCACGTCCCTCGTTGCCTGGAAGAGCTCTCAAACCGGACTGGCAGGCGACGCTCAGCGTCTGCCCGCTGCATGTTGAAATCAATACAACGTAGCAG